ATGGCGGCGGGGTAGGCGGTGGCGGTGAGCAGCGTGAGCGCTCTCCATTCGACGCCGCGCAGGGACTTGAAGGTGCGCGAGGCGCCGTAGCCGGCGGGCACGCCCATCAGGACGAAGAGCAGCAGCGTGGCGGTGAGCAGGCCTCCCCGGTTGGCGGGCGAGAGGAAGCCAAGCAGCGCGCCTACTCGGCGGCGAGCCAGCGGTCTGCCCGCCAACCGGGCGGAACGCGAGACGAGTCGGAGCGGCGCGCAAGCGATCGAGATGAAGGACATGCAGAGCAGCTGCACGCCCGTCCCTAGGGGCAGCGAGCTGATGGACTGATCACCCACGAAGCGCATCACGCATGCCCAGTTGGACTCGTGCCGACGGAGACCGAGAGCAGCAGCGGCCGCGGCGGAGGCCGGAGCACGTCTGCGTGCACCAGCTTCCAGCCAGACTCCTCGAGCAGCTCCTACAGCCGAGGTCCAGCCGAGGTCCAGGCCCGCCCAGCCGAGCTTCCGGCCAGACGAGCTCGCTGCTCCTCCCGCTCGTCCGCGACGTCGGAGAGCGAGTTGTACCTGCGCAGTCGGGCAGTCTAGTCTGTCGACTGGGCACCGCGAGAGGTGGAGAGCGAGTTGTACCTGCGCAGTCGGGCAGTCTAGTCTGTCGACTGGGCACCGCGAGAGGTGGAGAGCGAGTCGCGCCTGTTGAGGTCTCGCCGCAGCGTGCGTGCCATGATCATCGCGACGACGCCCGTGAGCAGCAGCACGACCGCGAGCGAGTTGACGAGCGAGATCCAGTGCACCTGGGACGTGTCGTGGACGTGTCGTGGGCGTGTCCCGCAGAACGAGCGGGGCCCGACCTGGCGCCTGGTCGTCGCCCATGTAGAGGTACAGGTCCCACCGCGACGCCCACCGGACGGGCGACTCCTCCCAGGTGACCTGACTCGCCAATGGAACACTCGATCATCAGCCAGCCAGTCGGTGAGACCGCGCCATCGACCCTCCCGCGCTCTGCCTCGTACGTGAAGATGACCTCGCACCCGCCGGCGGCCGACCCGCCGCCCTGCCTCCGCCGGCACCTAACCCGTCCACCCGTCAACTGACACGAGTGAGATCGGCGCCCGATCGACCCGCCTCAGCCGGCACCTGTGCTCCGCGCGCACCGGCTGCGGTGGCAGGTCGGGCGAGAGCGGCACCGTCGCCAGTTTGGTCGCGACGCCTCGCCACTCGCCCTCGTACCTAGCGCAGTGATCTCGGGGCGATCTCGGGGCGATCTCGGTTGATCTCGACCTCGCCACTCGCCCTCGTACCTGTGTGCGACCGAGAGGGCCTCCACCTCGAAGCCGACGATCCGCGAGCCCTGGAAGAGGTCGGGCTCCTGGTGGTACCTAGTCGAGTCAGCCACCCGTCGAGTCCGTGGCCTGGTCTGTTGGTCCGCGCTGTCCGGCTCTTGGCGGCACTTGATGATCAGTCGCAAGTGGTTGTTGATGTACGGCGCGCTGGGAAAGGTGCCGGGAAACTCTGGCGAGCCGAGGAAGCCGAGCGGATAGCCGCGCTCGTAGGTGGTGAGAGCGATGCCGTCAGAATCCGTCAGAATTCGCGTCGCGGCGGGCAGGTTGTCCATGATCATCTGCACGCGGTAGTCCTGTGCGATCCTCGCGCCAAAGACGGCCGCGTCGTGTGCGGTCAGCTCCACCCGGCAGAGGACGCGGAACGCCGTCTTGCCCATCTGCAGCGCGAACGGCGAGTTCTGGATCTTGCTGCCGTGCAGGACCTCGCCGAGGTTCTCGGCCTTGGACTCGAGCGTCTCCGGCCGGCAATGTGGCAGTGCATAGTAGTCAAACGGCAGGTGAGTTCGAGGCGACGAGAGCTGATTTACTTTGATCTCGACCGCCTCACCGTCGAGGTACTCATGCGGAGCGACGCCGGGCAGGTAGAAGCCGAGCGTCGGCGGCGCTGCGAGCAGCAACGAGAGCCAGCGTGCGGCGTTCATCTCGCCGCTGAAAGCCCTCGAAGCCGACAGCGGTGAGGCTACGCGGCGCGAGTTCGCGAGGCAGCTCGACAGAGCGCGGACTGGCGCTGACCAGGCGGAGAGCGGGGAGCGAGCGGAGAGCGAGCGGAGAGCGAGCGGAGAGCGAGCGGAGAGCGAGCGGAGAGCGAGCGGCGTGTTGGAGTGCCTTGAAAGAAGAAAAAGCGCAACGGGAGTCTGAGTGCGGCAGTGGCGGCTAGATGTTCTGCGTCTGGAATGGATGCCACCCTCCAAAATCCCATCGGGTCGCTTCTCATCGCAAACCCTGTCAGCAGAGTCCTCCTGCGGGAATGTAGATTTGAGAGATTTGTTGTTGGAATGTACGTAAGAGCACACCTTTTCTCCCAGTTGTAAGCTAAAAAGTACGTAACCTGAAAAACGCCGCGCCGTCTTACCGCCGACCCTTACCGTGCCGCGCCGCCTTTACACACACACCTGACTTCTGGCGGATCAAGCAGGTCGCGCACCTGCTCCAGGTGGCCCCCCGCCAAGCTTGAGTGAAGCCTGGAACCTAGCGTCCATGGACAGATGATAGGCTAGGACGATGACAGTTCGGACACGAATCGGACCGACATCGACTCCTCTTCGTTCGGCTCACTCAAGCATGCTGTGAACAGGGCGCACCTCTCCGGCGGCTCCTCACCGCGGTGCCGGCGCCCGGAGACTATTCACAGAGGGCTAAACGGTAATTTCTCGCAGCTGCGAGACAAGTTTTCTCGGAGCGACAGCCTCAAAGACAAAAGGGTGGATGGGTGGGGGGTGACCGCTGGTGAGCGCCAGCGGTGAGCGCCAGCGCGCCCCAGGAACGGTGGGGTGCCCTCGACCGCGCGTCCAAGTCACTTGGGCGGACGAGCGAGCGGCACATGGCCTGACAAAGAGAAATCGGAGTCTAGCGACGAGACCGAATCTGACCAGAGGCCGTCGTCTTCAGACGCCGTCCTCAGACGAAGGTGCCTTTCAGAGGTGTCCTTCAGGAGCGTAGCTGACGTCAGTCTGTGCGCGCTCTCTCGCCTCGTCGAAGTTTGGGATTGATTTTGAGGAAGGGGAGTTTCGCTGGAGACGGGATCCTCGCATGGCTCTGCCGTGGCTGCCGTGCTCGCAGCGGCGCCCGCTCGTGGCCCGCATCAGCCCGAAGCCCGCTGCGGCTTCCCGACTCTTCTGGCTGGGCCGCGACTGCCATGTGGAGCGCCGCGCGGCCGCTGCGCATCGCCAGATCGCCATGTTTGTCGGCGTTGGCGCACACTTCGATGCACGCTCCGGAGGCATCCTCGGCCGCACACCCGCTGCACAGATTGCCCGTGGGCCCGAGGCGGTGTGAGCCTGTCGAGGACTGGGGCTCCACTCGAGGTCATGTTCATAGATTCCAAAGCATTGTTAATAGCAAAGGGGGGAAAAGGTACCCTCGACCCTCACGCCTGCAACCCTCGCGCGGCAGCACACCACTGCTCCGCACGAGACACCGTTGCAGGACCAACCCCCAAAACGCGACAGCGCACACAAAATAGGGAGGGTGGGTGGGGAAGCAAGACAGGCCGTGTGGGGTGTGGGTGTCACGAGGACAGACGTCCACGAAGACGGTGGACGGACGCAAACTCCTTATCCAATTCACACTCACGGCTGTCCTACTGGTCATATAGAAAGTCGGCCGTCCGCGAGCCCCCAGCTCGCCGACGGCGAGAGAGATGCCACGAGGGGTCGCGGTGGCGTCCATCGCCAGGCTCCCTAGCTCAACCGACGACCCTTCGGGATCGACGGCCGATAGTCATGAGCCTGTCGAGGACTGGGGCTCCACTCGAGGTCATGTTCATAGATTCCAAAGCATTGTTAATAGCAAAGGGGGGAAAAGGTACCCTCGACCCTCACGCCTGCAACCCTCGCGCGGCAGCACACCACTGCTCCGCACGAGACACCGTTGCAGGACCAACCCCCATCGCCATCCATCGTAGAACATGATCTCGAGCCCTGCCCCAGCCCCTCAGCCACTACACCATCATAGTCACTCGCGCGAGCCGCTCGATGCGCGAGGCGAGATCGAGGCCGGCGTAGTGCTGCTGCATCGACCTCTCTCGCTCCTGCTCGTTCCAGCCGAAGATGCAGTCGATGTCTGTGATGGTAGCGCCCGTGACATCGCTCGTGTCCCGCGCCACCTTGTCCGAGAACCGTCGGTTCGAATGGTGGGCAAACTTGACGATCGGGTTGCCCGCCTCGTCCTCCTCAATCGCAAGCTCGAGGTCCTCCTCGTCGCGCTCGCGGAGGAGCTCGTACGCGAGCTTGAGCGCTTTCGTGGAATGGCTATATGACGAGCCAGTCTCTAGCGGAGTATCGGTGAGGCGCCCGCCGTCTGTCGCCCGGATGAGCGGGCCTTTGACGACGGCGGCGTACTGGGTGAGCCCCAGTCCCGCCAACCACTCGCTGGCGGCGCGGAGTCTGGCAGAACCCTTGGCTCCCCCAACGAGGTTGACGTACCGATCGCCCTCCTCGATGGTCGCCGCCCTCCTCTTCTGAGTCGCGGTGCGGCCAAGGTATTTGGCCGCTGGCCGGAGCGGGTGGTCACTCGGCAGCCGGCCGAGGGCCCCGACGAAGGTGTCGAAAGCGCCGTCTGGCAGGCTCGCCCCGACACGCAGCTGCACGACAGAGTAGTCCGGCCGCTCCACTTGGAAGCCGTCCACCGTGACCGTCTCGGTCGAGTGCCCCTGCACACGCCACAGGTCCCGCACGGCAGACTCGAGGCTGAACTCAGAGGTGAGTGACGTGCCCACACAGTGAGCCCACCGGCCCTTCCCCTGGGCCGTCTTCGTGGACTCGAGGTGGGCGGCAACAGTCGTTCCCATCTCGGCACATCGCTCTGAGAGCGGGTTGACGATCCACACGTCGCAGGCGGCGACGCCGTGCTGGCGGCCCGTCGTCTCGCCGAGCCGCAACCCCATCATCACCTCGAGGAGGAACATGACGCGATGACTCGAGTAGACTGCCTCCGCCTTGGCGCCGGTGCAGCACGTCCTGAGCGTCTCGTCGAGAACGAGTCGAGCGAGCTTGCGCGTGGTGTGCGTGCACGGCTGCGCGAGCTCGCCGATCAGACCGACCATCCTCGCGCGGAGCGCCTTCACCCGGGGGTCGGACATTATGCCGTTGGCGGTGGTCTTGGCGATGACTCCGCCCGCCGCCCTCAGGATCGTCTCGAACGAGCGAGCGCGGCCGGAGTCCATCGCGAGCCAGTTGATGAACTCCAGCATCGACTCGACACTGTAGCGGGGCAGTACGACGCCGCCGCCCATACTCGCAGCCCACACCTCCTCGAGACGGGTGAACTCCGCGTGGTTCTTCGACGTGGAGGACGCCTTGGTGCCCAGCTCGGCGAGCATCGTCCGAGCGGCGCGTCGGAGGACGAGGTCGGTGGGTGAGTGGCCGTCCGGCGTCATGGCTTCGGCCCGGCACACGGCACAGACGAGCTGTCCCGGCTCGACCTGGTATTTCGACAAGCCCGCGCACTCGCGGTGGAGCCCGTAGGAGCCGCAGCGTCCACAGATGTACTTGTCGCCTGTGGCACTGCACCCCCCTTGGAGGCACTTGAGCGCCGTCTCGACACGTCCGGCGCCCAGGACCGTCTCGAGGGACGCCTCCCTCCGGCTCACCGACTCGATGACAGCCGGAGCCTTCTCGTCGGCGGCTCGGCCGCATTCGTCACGGCCGGCGTGTACGAAGCCGGCGCCACGCGGCTCGATCTTGGCGCCCAGCCCAAACACAACTCCACAGCCCGCGCATGTCATGCCGCGGCTCTGGCAGTGCTGGACGGCGCCCGAGACCGACGGCTCTCGGTCCTTCGAGCTGGCAGCTGGAGCGGCATTCGGCACGACGCGCCTCCGCGCCGCTGCTGCCTCGTCCGCTGAGGCACGAGCCAGCTTCAAGGCGTCGTCTGGAGAGTTGCCGCCCTCGTCGACCCGCAAGCCCCCAATCGCCTCGGCTAGCGTGGCGTCGCCGTCGGTCGGCGGGGTGGCACCGCCCGTGGCGCTCTGCGCCCGCCACCTCTCCAGCTGCTGCACGGCCGCCTTCCAATCGAAGGAGAAGCGGCCTACGACCCCGGCGCCCGAGGGATCCTCCCGAGTGACGAAGTCGTTGACGAGCCAGTAGTTGGCGAGGTCCGAACTGTTGTACTCCCATGGCGAGCGAGTCGAGCCGTCATAGTAGCTGCACCCGCCGCGCGCGCTGCCGTCCAGGAGCTCGAAGGTACGCAGCTTCCCGCGCACGCCCAAGAGCTCGGCCACTGCGATGGGCCATCCGCCGCGGTCGGGCTCGACCGCCGACGGGTCGAAGGTGGAGGCGACCTGGACGAGGTTGCCTCTCTCCGTCGACTTAGCCTTCGGCCCCGGAGGGCTCCAGAGGAACGAGCCGGCCATCATGACCTGTGGCCGGCCGCAAGGGAGGAGCGCCGGCGTCGCGCCTGACGCCCGGGGAAAAGACAGGATGAGCGTCGGGCGCCGGACTCGACAGCTGACGAATCTCCCCATCTGCTGCATCTCGACTACCCCCTCCCCCCGGGTCTGAGGGCCATCATCGACGGCATAGCGTCCCAATATTGAAAAATGGCGAAGTAGTCGAGACCAGCCTGCGTTTGGTGCGTCCGGTACCACCACGACTCCACTGATCCTCTGACCGCCCGCCTCTGAAAGTCGCTCCCCCACACGCCGCAGGGCGGAGCCCACCGTGCTGTGCGTGGGGTGCACCCAGAGGTGGGGAGGCGGCTTGCCGCCCGCGACTGTGGCGGCCAGCCCGCCACCGACGCACCCATCCTCACCACCTGGGGATTGGGGGCTGCCTCCACTCGGGCACTTGTGCTGCGCCCCGACCTCGGCGGCGGCGTGTCGCCTCTCGGCGCCCACGAACTCGGTGAAACGTCCCGTCAGGCGCTCGATGGCGGCAAACTCCGCCGCCGCTAGCCGCACCCGCGGCTCCTCGATGGGATCGCCTCTCGAGGTTTGGTCGGGCCGGTGGAGGAGCACGCCCGGCGTGTGGACGAAGCGGAGCTCGATGTCCCACCTCTCCGCCGTCTCGAGCAGCCGGCGCAGCGTCTCCTGCATCGACACCGCCGTCGACGCCTGGTTCTGCGCGGCGCCGATGGCGGCGGTGTTGTCGCCCTCGACCAGCACCGCGCTGCCCTGAAGCTGCTCGCCGTAGAACTGGACGACCCGGAGGATGCCGAGCAGCTCTCGAGCGTTGATGGACCACGCCTGCTCGACCGGGCTGAACTGCAGCTGCACCTCGGCACGTTGGCCGTCGAGCCAGGCGAGCTGGCCTGTGCCCCAGTCGCTCGCGTCGGTACCTGTGATAGCGGCGATGGCGCGAGGCCGCCGGTCCAGATCGGTGCAGTTGCGCCGAGCCAGCATCGCCGACCACCACTCGAGGTCGCGGAAGAAGTCCGCGCTCAGCTCGATCTGGCGCCAGCCCATCCACTCTTCGGCGAGGGCACGCTGAGCCGCAAAATCCTCGTCCGAGGCAAGGTTGCGCCCTCCACCACACGACGGCGGACGTTCACGGCGCAACCAACGAAGCGCGAGGGGGACTCCTCTCATGCCGCCGCGCCGCCATCGACCGAGGCGGATGGAGGAGCGTACGACGTGCTGCATGAAGCGCACATGCGCCTCGAGAGCGCCGAGCGCGTGGGCTCGCCGTCGATCCCAGCCGACCTCGATGCTCGTGAGGCGGCCTCGCCGCCATCGACGTTGGGCGGAGACGACGAGGCGAGTCACCCATGTCGGGAGCGGCTCCGCGAGAAGGCGCTCCCTGCCGCAACCGATCCCGGGCGCCCGCCCGATCCCGGGCGGCCCTCTGCTCCTCCAGCGTCGTTGCAGGAGCCCGGCGGCGCGAGCGCGCACCACGCTGTCCAGCTCTGGTCGGTCGACGTCGGCGAAGCTCGCGCCGCCTCTGGCCCACGCTTCCGCACTCATGGAGTCGCCTGGCAGCCGTCCGGCTGCCCGATCTGGGAGCCGTCCGGCTCCCCCACGCCCCGTCCGGAGCGCCTCACCTCGCTCCGTCCGGAGCGTCACCCAGCGCTGCCACCGGGAACGGATGAGCCCAGCGGCTGCCACGGCTCTCTCGTCGGCGGCGAGGCCGATTCCGGCCAGCGCGCAGTCACCTGGCAGCCGTCCGACTGCCCGATCTGGGAGCCGTCCGGCTCCCCCACGCCCCGTCCGGGGCGCCTCGACCCGCTCCGTCCGGAGCGTCGCCCAGCGCTGCCACCGGGAACGGATGAGCCCAGCGGCTGCCACGGCTCTCTCGTCGGCGGCGAGGCCGATTCCGGCCAGCGCGCAGTCACCTGGCAGCCGTCCGGCTGCCCGATCTGGGAGCCGTCCGGCTCCCCCACGCCCCGTCCGGGGCGCCTCGACCCGCTCCGTCCGGAGCGTCACCCAGCGCTGCCACCGGGAACGGATGAGCCCAGCGGCTGCCACGGCTCTCTCGTCGGCGGCGAGGCCGATCCCGGCCCACGCGCTCTGCTCTTGAAGGCGGCCGTCCCGGCGCCCGGCGAGTGGGCCGGGCAGTGCCCCTTACCGTCGGTGGGGCGCGCTCGCCTCCCCCCCTTGGCGACATGCTGCCGGCCGGGCCGCGGCGCCGTCCGCTGCCGCGGCGGCGGCTCGGCGAGCGGTATTGGGTGCTCGTCTCGGCGCACGCTCTGGAGGCGGTGCCCGGCCGCATGCCCGCTGCACTGCCTGTATGCCCGAGGCGATTTGCGGCCGGGCTCAAAGCTGCCGCCGCCGCTGGTGCGCCGGGCGCGGCGCTGCTACCGCACCATGTCGTGGCTGCTCGCGCTGCCCCTGCGCTGCCCACGCGCGGCTCGGCGGGCGGGCAACACCATCGCCGCTCGTGCACCAGCCGCGGGCGCCCGTCACCACCCCGCCTCTTTGAGGGGGGGGGCGGCGAGCGCTCGCGTGTGTGTGCGGCTGGGCCACTCTCGAGGGCGCCGGCGGGGCTGCCGCCACCGCCATCGACGGCGGCTCGACGAGCGGTGTTGGTGCTCGCTTCGGCGCGCGCTCTGAAGGCGTGTTCGACCGCGTGCCCGCTGCACTACCTGTATGCCCGAGGCGGATCGCAGTCCTGGCAGTCGCCGTCGCAGTTCTCGCAGTTCTGTCAGTCGCCGTCGCAGCCAAGCCATGCGGTCTGCTTGCGATTACCTTGGAGCAAATGGATGGACCACCCGCCCACCCTGTCAACATCATGTGGGAGGAACGTTGATACGTTGATGGCGCCAGCGCCTGCTGTTGACAAGTGGGGAGCAGACGGCTTCATCGCGAAGCTGCCCCCAGCAGGCGTCTTGACGGGTATCAAAATTCTTCCCTACGAAAGAGGCCAACGGACCCGAGAAGGTAATTTCTCGCAGCTGCGAGACAAGTTTTCTCGGAGCGACAGCCTCAAAGACAAAAGGGTGGATGGGTGGGGGGTGACCGCTGGTGAGCGCCAGCGGTGAGCGCCAGCGCGCCCCAGGAACGGTGGGGTGCCCTCGACCGCGCGTCCAAGTCACTTGGGCGGACGAGCGAGCGGCACATGGCCTGACAAAGAGAAATCGGAGTCTAGCGACGAGACCGAATCTGACCAGAGGCCGTCGTCTTCAGACGCCGTCCTCAGACGAAGGTGCCTTTCAGAGGTGTCCTTCAGGAGCGTAGCTGACGTCAGTCTGTGCGCGCTCTCTCGCCTCGTCGAACCCACCACCATCCCCTTTCTCCTCCTATCTGTCTTGTGTGTGCCTTGCTGGGGGGAGCAGACGGCTTCATCGCGAAGCTGCCCCCAGCAGGCGTCTTGACGGGTATCAAAATTCTTCCCTACGAAAGAGGCCAACGGACCCGAGAAGGGAATTTTTTGCTTGGCTGCGCGGCTCCGCAATAGGGCACCCTGGTAGGTAGGTAGGGCGTTTTGGCGCGACTCGGCAGACCCCCGATCCGGGTAGGAGCCGGAACCCTGCGCCGAAGGACTGGGTTGATAGTGTGGTATGGCTGTGCTTCTCTGCACACGCGCCAGCGCCGTGCTGCTGCTCGGGTGGCCGGTGCGCGCAGCACCAGTTGCCGACGAGGAGCTGACAGCTGCACAGTGGCTGCGCGAGCAGCAGATGCGTGGCCTACAGGGGCTGCGGGCCGAGCAGCAGGGTGCGATGCTGAGCGACCTCTCGATGCTGCAGGGCGCGCCGTCAGACGCGGCGCCGTTGGCGACGCAGCGTGCCTATCTGGACATGGCCATCGGCGGAGCGCCAGCTGGGCGGCTCGTCTTCGACCTCTTTGGGGACGTCGCGCCTCGCACAGTTCGAAACTTCGCCTCTCTGGTTCAGGGCGAGCCGGCGGCCGGTGGCGGGAAGCGTTCGCTGCGCGGCTCCAGGCTGCACCGCATCATCGGCAGCTTCATGGCGCAGGGAGGGGATTACGATGGGCGCGGCGGCGACAGCTTGTGGGGAGGGACGTTTGCAGACGAGTCGTTTGCGCTCAAGCACAGCGCGGCGGGCACGCTGTCGATGGCTAATTATGGCAAGGACACGAACAAGGCGCAATTTTTCGTCACATTCAAGGCGACACCGCACCTGGATGGCAAGCACGTCGTGTTTGGCCGGCTGCAGTCGGGGTTCGAGGCGCTCAAAAAGGTGGAGGCGGTCGGCTCGCGCTCGGGCAAGCCGACGGCGGACGTCGTGATCCAGGACTGCGGGATTTTGCCACCACCCGACTGACCCAGGGTGTTACTCTCCAGATGTATGAATGTATTATTGTAACTATTCGTGCGCGTGTCCGTGTGGCTGTGCCGTGGCGAGCGCGAGGGCGCGGTACGGCTACGGGGGCGCCGTGAACGAGGCTCGAGGGTTAAAAAAACATTATAAATAAAAAAACATACATTATCATTTTACATGAGGTTTATTTAATAAAATTATGTATGTAAAGAGTGAATGCAGAAGATCGGACAGGGGAGGGACGCGGCCAGAAAGAGGGCGGGCGCCGAGGTTCGAAAGCCGGCGCTTTCGCGCGTTCGAAGGGGCTTTGCTCGGAGTTTGTGCGAAATTTGCGGTTGTACCAACCAACAACTGTGCATCTCTCTCTCTTAAAGGCGGGCTGCCCTTTTTATAAGCGGTAGAGCTCCTATACCGCGAGAGTAGTCCAGTTCACCGCGTTTTCCGTCTCACAGACACAGTGACACAGTACGCTGGTTACTGATCTCAGTACGTAATCAAGAACACGGCCCACACAGTGCGGATTGTGAATGCCTAAGTCTAAGACGTAAGACTAAGAGCCGTCGGTGGCCAGCTTCCCAGCTAGAGCGGTGAGCGCGCTGACGTCTGTGCTGCGCGGCTCACACAAGTGTGACTCACGACACAGGAGCAGGTCAAAGCCCAAAGACGCCGTCGAAGAGCGCCTCGCGTACCCCCGCGGAGCCGGGCGCTGGCAGGAACAGGTGCTGGCAGCCGCTCTCGACCGCCGCCATGTCGTCGTACCCGTCACGGCGCGAGTCGCCTTCGCCGGCCGAGGCGGCGAGGATCACGTGCAGCAGGTCGGTCGGCAGCGAGGCGAGGGCGGCCATGCTGGAGGGGAGGGTGGTGCGCTGCCGGAGCGCACAGCAGAGCACCGCAAAGACGCGCACCTGGAAGGACGGCTGGAAGAAGTGGTGCCTCTCGGGCGTCCAGAGCCGCGCAAAGCGGCGGAACGAGACGCCGCACCAGACGACGCGCTCGTACGGCTCGAAGCTGCGCCAGGGCGGGGGCTGCGGCGCCTCCGCAGGCACGTAGAGGAAGTCGAGCCGGTCCAGCATGCGCGCTGCTCGGGCCCTGTTGATGAACTCGGTGTAGGTGGGCCGCGGGAGCGGTATCAGCTTGTTTTTGCGCGGGTCGCCAGAGTACGGCACGCCGCTGTCTCGCATGGCGACATAGTCGGCCGCCGCGAATGGGAACTCCCTGTTCGATGCCTTTGACCCGCCGGCGCCCCGGCCGTACTCCTTCCCGTTCGCGTGGACGATGAGGAGCCTGCCAGTGGGTCTGGGCAGAGGAGCGCGCCGAGCAGCAGGGGAACCCGAGGCCGGCGCGGCGGCGGCCGGAGCCGACCTCGGCCGGAGCGTGCGCTGCGCCGTCGGTGCGCGCATCGCGGCAGCGGCGAGCACTCCGAAGCGCGTTCGCTTTGTTTTTAGGATCCTTTTTTCGCACAGAGGGCACGCGAGGTACGACCGTGCCCGGCCGTGCTATTAAAGCGACTCGGCTCTCTAAAAGGCTGCAGCCCAGAGCCACACGGAGTCTACGCGCATCGCTTGTGCATAGCCTCGACCAATCTCCTGTTCACGGTGGAACCGTGAACAAAGAGCTTCTTCGAACCGTTACAAACACGACGCGAGCCGCCCAGCAGGGAGCCTGGGCGACTCGCTTTGGCGCTGGCCAGGCCGGAGGCGAGTGCCGCCGCCAGGCCACGACCGACCGCGCCCGTCCTACGGACGGGCGCAATGGGCCAAACTGCAGGCTGCGCCGCCAAACTGCAGTGCGTGCAGCGCTGCGCCGCCAGTCCAATACATGCAAACTGCAGGCTTTGCAGCGAGGACCAGCCTGCTCAGCTTAGAACGAGGAGCCAGCAGCCAACAGGAGGACAGCAGTCGTCCACGCCAGCTGGAATGCGAGGACCGCCCCAGCCGCAGGTGGCCCCATACGTAATGCTTTGCGCAAAGCACCGAGCAAAAATGGCGCCTTTACATGGCCATGCAGCAAGCAGTGCCGCCAGATGAGCACACGGCCATGGGCGAAGTGCACCCGCAGGGCCAGCTGGCATTGCGTGGTGCACTCGCAAATCAACCCGCCCTCTCGCGCCAAGGACGGCGCGAGGGGAGCGCGAGCATCCACCAGCAGCCGTCTGGCTGCTGGTGTGAGCCATACTCAACACGCCGCGCGGAGCGGAGTGCGGAGCCATGAATGAGCAGTAGAGCCTGCGCCTCGAGGCACGGCCTGCGGCCCCTACCCTACCGTCGGCCCGCCACTGGCGGCATCGAGGACATTTCGAGACGGTGTGCGGTGTCAGCCTGTGAGGCGCACTGCACTCGAACTGCACTAGTGGAAGCACCAACACGGCCCTCGGGCTGTTTGGGGACCCGGACGCCAGCGGCCCCCTGGGAGAGGGGTGTCCTGGTTGTGTCTTGTCTGAGTGCCAGCGCACGCAGCTATCTTAACGGCGTGAGGTCAGCAAGAACCCTCGCGGCGTCGTGCAGTCTGTGAGGGTGTGTGCCTGCACGGATTGCACAAGTAGCAAATCGCTCCTGTCGGCATTCCTCCGGAATGGGGCGACAGAACACGTGTTATTCCGTAGTCGGGATGACCACAAATCGTTAGGGCACTCAAGAAGAGGCCAGCCGGCACTTCGAGCTGCGCTCGACATGGGGATGCGCACAGTCAATATATGTCAATGCGCGCCGCGCGAGCGAGTCTCTAAAGACTCGGTCGCG